GATTGGGCAATTTAAATGAGGCTAGGGCTCAGAGCGCAGGCAATTGAGGTAATTGAGGTTTTTCTTGGAACTCAAGTCTCGGCCTTGGCCCTATCTGAGGAACAATTGGTCTCTGTGTTTGCTCAATCCTACTGAGCTGGCCATCCAGCCACCTGCAGATACCCGACAACCTGTGTCCTTGGGACTGAGCTCCCTTCTGATAGGCAATGACTATGTAGCTGTGGGGGAACGGAATTCTCCATAAGCCTCAGCTGCCTGTTTAAACTGGGCCAGGGTCTTTCAAAGGAATCTACAGATTCAATGCAATCCTGAGCAAAATCCCAACATAATTCTTCGCAGACCTTGAAAGAATAATGCTCAGTTTTATATGGAAAAACAAAAGACACAGGATAGTGAAAACAAACCTGCACATTAAATGAACTTCTGGAGGTATCACCATCCCTGACTTCAAGCTCTACTACAGAGCTATAGTCCTGAAAACAGCTTGGTACTAACACAAACATAGACAGGTAGGCCAATGGAATCGAATTGAAAATCCTGATATTAACCACACACCTACAAACACCTGATTTTTGACAAAGAAGCTAAAAGTATACAATGGAAAAAAAGAAAGCATCTTCAACAAATGGCACTGGCACTACTGGAGGCTGGCATGTAGTAGACTGCAGATAGATTCATATGTATAGCCATGCACAAAACTTAAGTCCAAATTGATCAAAGACCTCGACATAAATCCAGCCACATTGAACCTCTTAGAAGAGAAGGTGGGAGGTACCCTTGAATGAATTGGTACCGGAGACTGCTTTCTGAATGTAACACCAATAGCACAGACACTAAAATTGACAATTAATAAATGGGACCTCCTGAAACTGAGAAGGTTCTGTAAGGCAAAGGACACTGTCAACAATAGGAAAAGTTAAAGTGGCCTACAGAATGGGAAAAGATATTCAACAACTTCACATCTGACAGAGGGCTGATTTCCAAAATATACAAAGAACTCAAGAAGCTAGTAACCAAAACACCAAATAATCCAATTAAAAAGTGGGGTACAGAACTAAATAGAGAATTCTCAATAGAGGAATCTAAAATGGCTGAAAGACTCTTAATAAAGTGTTCAACATCCTTAGCCATCAGGAAAATGCAAATCAAACAACTTTGAGATAACATCTCACTCCTGTCAGAATGGCTAAAATAAAAAAAAACCAACGATATGTTATGCTTGAGAGGATGTAGAGAAAGGGGAACACTCCTCCACTACTGATGGGAGTACAAACTCTTACAGCACCTTTGGAAATCAGTATGGCAGTTTCCCAGAATAATGGGAATCAGTCTACCTCAAGATCCAGCAATTCAACTCTTAGGCATATACCCAAAAGTTACACATTCATACAACAAGGACATCTGTTCAACTATGTTCACAGCAGCATTATTTGTAATAGCCAGAACCTGGAAGTAATCTAGACACCCCTCAACTGAAGAATAGATAAAAAAAATATGTTCCATTTACACAATGGATTCCTCAATGGAGAAAAGCAATGGAATCTTGAAATTTGCAGGCAAATGGATGTAACTAGAAGAAAATCATCCTGAATGAGGTAACCCAGTCACAAAAAGACAACCATGGTATGTATTCACTCATATATGGATTTTAGACCAAAGGATTGCCAGCCTACAATCCACACTGACAGAGAAACTAGGAAACAAGGAGGACCCTAAGAGAGACATATATGGTCCCTGTAGAAGGGGAAAGGGACAAGATCTCCTGAGAAAATTGGAAGCATGTTGGGAGGGGAGAGGGAGTTAGGAGAAAGAGAAGGGGAGAAGAAGAGTATATGAGGGAGCAGAAAGATTGAGTCAGCGGAAGAATAGAGGAGAGCAATAAAACAGATACCTTAATAGAGGGAGCCATTATAGGTTTAAAGAGAAATCTGGCACTAGGGAAATGTCCAGAGATCTACAAGGATGACACCAACTAACGATCTAATCACTGCTTGAGAGGTTACCTTCAATGCCCTTCCCAAATAATGAGATTGATGACTACCTTATATGCCATCCTACAGCCTTCATCCATTAGTTGATGGAAGCAGAAGCAGACAGCCACAAATAAATACTGACCCGAGCTCCTAGAATCCAGTTGCAGAGAGGGATGAGTGATGAGCAAAGGTGTCAGATCCAGGCTAGAGAAACCCACAGAAACAGCTGACCTGAACAAGGGGGATCTCATGAACCCCAGACTGATAGCTGAGAAACTAGAATGGAACCATCCAAGACTCCCTGAACATGGGTGTCAGTTAGGAGGCCTGGGCAATCTATGGGGCCTCTGATCAGTATTTATCCCTAGTGTACGAATCGACTCTGGGATCCCATTTCATACAGAGGGATACTCTCTCAGCCTAGACACACAGGGTAGGTCCTAGGCCCTGCTCCAAATGATATGACAGACTTTGAAGATTCACCGTGGAAGGCCTCACCTTCCTGGGGAGCAGAAAGGGGATGGGATATGGGGCTGTTGGGGGGCAAGGGAGGAGGAAGGGAGAAGGAACTGGGATTGACACGTAAAACAAGCTTGTTCCTAATTTAAATTGAAAAAGAAAAGAACACAAAATACAAAGTCACACCATCCACCTCTCTCTTCTTATATCTCTGTGACATTATACAAGTGGCATATACCCTCAGAGTCTTTTTCTTCCTAGTGTGAGAACTATGATAACATGTAACTACATAATAGTATGTAAAGTATGTAATCAAAGGATTTGGAACATTATAAGTACTTTCTAAATGATATCTATTAGCACTGTTTAACAAGTCCTTAGAATCCAATCTCATTAAATGAGGTCTGAAAATTACTTAGGCTTCAACCCCATCCTAAGCTTTTCTTCCTTATGTCCCAAGTCCTCAACTCACTAACAAATAAGAATCAAGATGTTTAACCACTTCCCAAGTTGAAGACAACCCAAATGTAGAAGCAATTCGGAGACTATTTAGTATTGCAATATATTATTAGCCTCATAGGACCTCTCATGAACTAAGCCTGCACTGCACTAACCCTGTGTTTGCTGCTGAGCTATTTCCCTTGCTCTGCCTTATTGTCTCTATCCACTCCTAATGGTTATTTATTCTACTCTCACCACCTATTAAATTCTAACTATAGATGAATGCGAGAAATTAAAGTATTAATATATCACAAAATTCCCTTGGTTTGCTGGGGAGGTTGCTCAGCAGATAAAATACTTGCCACAGAAGCTTGAGGAACAGAACTTGTATCCTAGGAACCCACATAAAATCCACTGGGCATGACAGCATGTCTGTCATCTAGCTCTCTGCAGCCAAAGACAAAGAATATCTTCTCTAACCAGGCTTTCTTTGGGGCCACCAACCAGCTCCCAAATAATGATATGGAGACTTGTTATTAATTATGAATGCTTGGCCTTGTCTTTTATTTTAACCTGTTTCTCTTTATCCAAGTTTTGCCTTGGGGCTTTTTACATCTCTCTCTCTCTCTCTCTCTCTCTCTCTCTCTCTCTCTCTCTCTCTCTCTCTCTCTCTCTCTCTCTCTCTCTCTGTGTGTGTCTCTCTCTCTCTCTCTCTCTCTCTCTCTCTCTCTCTCTCTCTCTCTCTCTCTTATTTTCCTTCTGTCTCCATGGCTGACTGGCTGGCAGCTGCCCGGATTCTGGCCACAGGCATGTCCCTCTCTGTCCACCAGCTCTGCTTATCCCTCTTCTGCCTCATTATTGGCTATTCAGCTTATTAGACCAATCAAGTGTCTTATGCAGGCAAAGTAACACAGCAATACATCTTTACATATTTAAACAAATGCACCACAAACAAATGTGACACTTTTACATAATTAAAGCAACATTCCACAAGAATCTTCCCAAGAGGAAGCTGATCAGATAGCTGCGGCAAGCTCTGGGTTGGCACCAGATTTCAATATATAAGGTGGAGAATGATAAAGAAAGTCATCTAATGTCAATCTCAGACCTCCACATGCACACTCATGCATGTATATACCACACACATACACACCTAAAGAATCTCTTACTTAGTATTCCAGAGTTAGGACTCTAATTACTTGTTCTTTGGGGACTAACCTTATATTTGATGATGTTAATTTACATTCAGTATAGTATCTTCAGCATTGAAGAGTTCCAGTATTTACTAACAGGGGAATTTTGTAGTGCTAAGTTCTGAATTTTTAATATTATGGTGCAATGAAAAATTTGCAAATCAAACAATGAACCTACATGTTTTAGGCAAAAATAAGATAAATAAAATCACAAGATGAAGGCACAGAATGACATCTTGAAATTTATTGCTAGAAGCCCTCAATGGCTTCCATTTCCCATTCTTTGATTCAATAGAACTCTGTACATTCATACAGTCTGTGTCTTTTGGCCTTTTAACATTTCTTCATCTTCATTCTCTTGTACTTTTTTACAACTAAGTAATATCCTTTACTTATCATTGTGTAATCTTTCTCCTTATTTCCACTCCCTCTTTCTTCCATAAGCAATCATGTTAACCATTTAAACAACTCTTGTATTCTTAGATATATTCTTTTCTGTCCTTTTTCTGTCCTCTCCCTGAACTGATATATGCCTACTTGTATTTCAAATTCTACATGTGGCTATTACTTATTAACCATTCCTACATGTGTTCCCACTCCAATTCCTTTCCCCTTACTTTTAATGTTTTCCTTTATGGGCCTCCTTTTAGGGAATTTCTTTTCTGCCTAGCTTCAGCTTTCCCAGACCTGCTTCCTGCTTGTTTTCCTCAAGCACTGATCCACATGATGCTTTCATTCTTCCAGTAGAAAGCAGGCATGAAGGGCACAAACAACTTATAACATTAATTAACCTTCCCTAGCATGAAGGTAGATAAATGTTTTGGACATCTCTGGCTACCACCTTCTGCATCCTTTATATACTCATCAACCTCCTGCCTCTATCCTTTCCCAGCATCCATAGTTTTTGTACTGTTCCCTCCTCGTAACTACTGACCTCTCTTACATGATACCATGGGCGTCTTCTCTCCATCTTAACTTGGCTTCTCTATATAGAATGAATGATAATTGGTCCTGGAAAACAAGAGAAAAGGCATCAGTCAACAAGGACATAAAGAGAAAGATATCTAGGGACAATAGACCCTTTATATGGCAAGTATCATGGAGTAGGCATGCATAATAGAGAACTTGGAGATGATATAGATAAAATGGAGAATGAAGAGAGATATTTTATAAATAAACTGTCAACAGCTATTCTCTTGATGGTACCTTCATGGCATTGTCTCAAACTTGTTAACATTGGCTTGTTTGCTACATTTTCTGAGTTTTATATTAACTTGTAAATGCCTGAAACTAATATTTTTATCTATTTTAATTAATTAGTATGCATTAATTTTTATATTCAGAGTAATATCCCAGTATGCATTGATCATACCCAGCATTCCTTTATTTACCCTCATTCTACATTTCCCTATTTCACCATTTTACATTCATGTCAACTGTTTTTTCTAACCTCCAAGTACAAAAGAAAACATGATACATGTCATTTTGTGTCTGGTTCATTTTACCTATATAGCAATCTTCAATTCCATCTATTTTGTTGCAAATAACACAAATTTTGTCCCTCTTTGTGGCTGAATAATTTCATTCTGAATATGTACTGTATTTTCTTTTTCTATTAATCCTTTGGTGGGTATTGAATTTGATTTCATGTCTTAGCTATTATAAATATTGCAGCAATAAATATAGGAGTCCAGGTATCTATTTAATATGCTGATCTCAGTTCATTTCATTTGTATACTGTTGTGTGATATTTTGATTACATTCTGACAGTTAGAATACTGACAATAAAGTTTGCTTTGAATCAGAGGGCAGAGCTAGCTACTAGCTGACCAAAATTGACCATAGAGGTTGGAGGACTGAGGACAGATAGAGAGATGGGTAGTAGTAGAGTGGGACTTAGAGAGGGTCTTGGCCCTTTTGGATGGAAGAATGAGAGACAGAGTAGGTCACTGGTGGTTTCTCTGCTGCTTCTATGCTCATTTAGGTTCTTACCCCGATATCTGACCCCTGAGTTTTTATTGGTAAAGAGTAAGTAAATAAACACTTCAGTATACATTCCCCAAAATGGGATAGCTTGATCATACAGTAAGTCTGTTTTTAGTTTTGCTGAAGACTTCCCATACTTCATGGTCATTATAATTATGTAGGAATAGTAAAGTCTTCCTTTTTACTCTATATCTCCACCAAGATTCGTTGCTTCTTTAGTTATCCTTCTAAAAGTTTCTGTAACTGGGGTAAGATAGCTCAGTGTATTTTTATTTTAATTTCTCTGAAAGCTAATCATATTGATCATTTTAAATGTATTAGTTGGCTCCTTCTGCTTCTTTTTATATGTCTATTCAAAACATTTTCCCATCTTAATTGGATTGGTTGCAGATATTGGGCTTTGTGTGTAACTGAGTGTGCCTTACTAAGTAGATATTAATTACATTCTATGGATTATCTCTGATTTTCTCTTCAGAAATTTTTATATTTAATGCAATGTCATCTATTTCTTTTTAATTCTGTTTCCTAAGCTTTTGTAATTATCTTTTTAAAATGTGCTCATGTCAGTGTCATTAGGGATTTATTCTGTTTTCTTCTGGTTCTTCCATAGTTTCAGGTTATTGAGGTTTCCATATGAATTTTATAATTATTTCTTTAATTACTTTTACTGATGTTTTATAATTTCCCCTATAAAGATTTTCCACTTCCTTGGTTAAATTTGTTACTAGATATCTTTGTGCATATTGTGCATCAATGTTTTCATAATTTCTTTTTTAATATTTATTCATTTAATTTCATTATACATTCCAACCAAATTTCTCCCAACCCTCCTCCCACTCCCTCACCTCCCTCCATCCCACTTCCCCAATCCACTCCTCCTAACAGGTAAGGGCTCCCAGGGGGAGTCAACACAAAATGGCACATTAAGTTGGAGCAGGACCAAGCCCATCCCCTCTGCATTAAGTCTGAGCATGTCATCCCTTCATAGGAAATGGGCTATAACAAGTAACTCATGTACCAGGGATAGATCCTGGTCCTATTGCCAGGGACCCCCAAGCTTCACAACTGTCTCCCACATATTGAGGTCCTAGTGTGGTCCCATCGTTGGCTTCACAGATGTCAGTCTACAGCTTGCTTCAGCTGTCTCTGTAGATTTCCCTGGCATGATCTTGATCTCCCTCGCTCATATATTCCCTCCACCCTCTCTTCAGCTGAATTCCTGGAGTTTAACCTGGTGCTTAGCTGTGGATCTCTACATCTGTTTCTATCAATTACTGGAAATTGTCTCTCGCTTCTCTAGAGCTATGGATTGAAGTATGGTTATCCTTTTCTTTATCTCTAATATCTACTTATAGGTAAGTACATATTGGCTTTGTATTTCTGAGTCTGGGTTACCTCACTCAGGATGTTTTTGTCTAGTTCCATTCATTTTCCTGCAAATTTCATGATGTCATTGTTTTTTTATAGCTGAATAATACTCTATTGTGTAAATGTACACATTTTCCTTATACATTCTTCTGTTGAGGGGCTTCTAGGTTGTATGAATATTGTTGAGCAAGTGTCCTTGTAGTATGATTGAGTATTATTTTATATATATGTCCAAGAATGATATTGCTAGGTCTTGAGGTAGATTGATACCCAACTTTCTGAGAAACTACCATACTGATTTCCAGAATAGCTGTACAAGTCTGGGCTGCCATCCATGGTCTCTTAGTGTTTGCAGAACATCTGTCTGGGACCTTCTGGCCTTCAGAGTTTCCATTGAGAAGTCGGGTGTAATTCTGATGGGTCTGCCTTCATGTGTTACTTGGCCTTTTTCCTTTGCAGCTCTTAGTATTGTTTCTTTATTCTGTAGGTTTTGTGTTTTGATTGTTACGTGGTGAGGGGACTTTTTATGGGTTCAGTCAATTTGGTGTTCTGTAAGCTTCTCGTACCTTCATAGGCATATTCTTCTTTAGATAGGGAAAGTTTTCTTCTAGAGTTTTGTTAAATATATTTTCTGTGCCTTTGAGCTGGAATTATTCTCCTTCTTCTCTATTATTTGGTCTTTTCATGATGTCCTAGATCTCCAGGATGTTTTGTGTTAAGAATATGTGAGATTTAACATTTTATTTGACCAATGAATCTATTTCCTCTATTGTATCTTCAGCACCTGAGATTCTCTCTTCCATCTCTTGCATTGTCTTCGTTTATTCTTGCATCTGTAGCTCTTGTTCATTTACCCAGATTTTCCATCTCCAGAATTTCCTCAGTTCATGAGGATTTTTATTGCCTCTATTTCAATTTTCAAGTTTTGGACTGTTTCCTTCACTTGTTTGATTGCTTTTTTCATAGTTTTCTTAGCTTTCTTTAAGGGATTTATTGATTTCTTTTTTATTCTTTTATTGTTTGTCTTTTTGCTACAAACGTTTATCATTTATTACAGAAGCAGCAATATTATTCTAGGTATTAACTCCTGAATATTTGTTACTATGAATTTGGCTTTATATAGGATATATACTGGGTGCTTTGTATTCTCAAAAAGGCCCCAGAGAATGGCAATTCCTTCTCACCAAGGCACCAGCAGTAAGATCTGTGGCCTCCAGATCTCACACTACATAGCCTTAGTTTTTCTCTTTGATAAAGCTCTGAGAAGTCCCCTTTAATCAGTTAAGAACAGTTTTACAAAGTCACATCTCCTTTGAGACTTAAGCTTTCCAGGGCATTTTACAAGTCATGTCCCTCCCTCAGAGGAATCTGCTTTTGTTAAGATTTTGTCCACCTTCCACTCTCTGAGAGATATGTATGCCCTATTGACAGAGAGTTGGGGGAAGAATGGAGAAGGAGAGCAAGGAAAGAGAGATGTTATGAGCATAACAAGAAATCTGGCACTAGGGAAATGCCCAGAGATCTACAAGGATGACCCCAACTAAGAATTTAAGCAATAGTGGAGAGGCTACCTTAAATGCCCTTCCCAGATAATGAGATTGATGACTACCTTAAATGCTATCTTAGATCCCTCATCCAGTAGCTGATGGAAGCAGAAGCAGAGATCCACAGCTAAGCACTGAGCTGAACTCCTGGAATCCAGTTATAGAGAGGGAGGAGCAATGACAATGAGCAAAGTGGTCGAAACCATGCTGGGTAAATCCACAGAAACAGCTTACCTGAGTATTTAGAAGCTACTGACTCCAGACTGACAGCTGTGGAACCTGCATAAGACTAAACCAGGTCCCCTGAAGTAGGTGTCAGTTGGGGGGTTTGGGTAATCTATGAGACACTGGCAATGGAACCAGTATTTATCCCTAGTTCATGAATGGGCTTTGGGAGCCCATTCCCTATGGAGAGATACTGTCTAAGTCCAGATACCAGGGAGAGTATCTTCCTGCCCCAAATGATTCGACAGGCTTTGATAATCCCCCATGGGAGGCCTCACGCTCCCAGAGGAGAGGATGGGGGATTGGATGGGGAGATGGTGGGGGCAATGGGAGGACAGAAGGGAGAGAGAACTGGGATTGGTATATAAAATAAGATTGTTTTTATTTTAAATTTTAAGAATTAATAAAAAGGAGTCATGAGAGGAACACATGTGTGAGATGGTTTATTTCCTTTTTACCCTCAGATAAGAACATTTTAGCAAATGCCAACCCACCTACTGTAAACCTCCTGCCTGAACCTGTGGTATCTTTCCCTCTGTTTCTTTAAGGGAATTTTTCATTTCCTCTTTAAAGGCTTCTGTCATCTTCATAATGTTATTTTTAAGGTGGTTTCCTTCTGTTCCATCTACATTGGGATACTAAGATATTGCTGTTGTGGAACCACTAGTTTCTGGTCCTGCCATATTGCTCTTTATGTTGTTGAATGTATTCTTGCACTGCTGTCTACCCATCTCTTCCTCCAATCAGTGCAGGTGCAAACTGTGGCTCCGGTGGTCACTTTTTCTCCCACTTTGTGCTAATGTATTGACTTTTAGTAATCATGTAGTTTTGCATGAAGAATAAATGACTGAGAAGCAAGAAGAAAAATAAGTGAAAAAAAACTTTCTCTGGACCTTCATCTACAAATTTGTATAAATGTGAAGGTAACTGCTACTGTAATAATCTTCTAATAGCATTTTACAAATCAAATAATGTAATAGATTTGACAATTTGTAAAGATCTTAGGCTGATGAATATCTTTGTCAAAAAAACTATCTAAGAGGTGGGAAACTCTGTCCATGTCCTGGCACAGAGGATGGCTGACAGCATTGAGATGTCTGTGTTGTTATGGATGTCACCAGATTGCTGGTTTGGTCTGGTTTGTCTTTCTACAAGAGAAGTCAAAAAGATAGTCTACAAATAGGTTGCATTCTCATCTAAAAACCCAAACACCAACTTCTTCTACTTTCCAGGATTTCATTTGTTTAATTGTTCAACAACATTTGCTGAGTCTAATGTTTCTTACTATAAATAAATTTACTATAAATAAGAAATAGATATATCTAAATATGAAAAAAATTCCTTGAGTCTTCTGATTTTGTGCTTGCTTCCAGAAAGGCTTCACAATGCAGACGGTAAGCTCTTTGAAAATACAGAGATATTTTTGTTGGTGGTGGTGGTGGTGGTGATGGTTGTGGTGGTTTTTTTTTCTAATTTTTATTGGTCTTTTGTAAAGGGAAGCCTTCCCGCCAGCCTGGTTCCAGAGCCGCATCAGTCCCAAATGAACACACAGGAGGCTATATTAATTATGAAGCTGTTGGCCTTGCTTGTTTCTTACTGGCTAGCTTTGACTTAAGTATTTATCCCTTAATTGATAATCTAAGTATTTCTCTTACCGGAGAGGTTTCTGGGCTTCCTACCCCATGGTGTTACATCTCGACTCCCTGTGTTTCTCCTGTGTTTCTCCTTCCCAGAGTCCTCCTGGATTCCTAGTCCCACCTATCTTGGTTCCCTATTGGCCAACAGTGCTTTATTGACATATACACAGGACTTCCCCCGTCAGTCTTTCAGGACAATAGGGTCTCACTACAATTCCCTGGCTGTCCTGGAATTTGCTCTGTAGACCAGGCTCTCCTGGAACTCAGACATCCATCTGTCTCTGCCTCCTGAGTACTGGGATTAAAGGTGTGCACCACCATCCAGCAAGGCAAAATTTTGTGAATTTTATTTATTAAATGATCAAATAGTTATTAGGTACCTAGTATATTCCAGGTTATTTTCTTTAAATATTTGTCAGCTCTTTGAGAATGTCATTCAACATGCTTTAGTCATATTCTTCTCCCTTTCCTTTTTTGTGTCCTTTCCTTTTAAACCCATCAAGTTCAAATTTCGTTGCCCAAATAATCTTGGATGTGTGGCCTTGTTGACATAGCAGATGATACACTCTAATTGATTCTCCTTTTCCCAGGATCTAACAATGCCAATAGTTCTTGTCTGTGAGCTGAATTTTTGTACCCAGCTCTCTGCTGGGATTTGGTCTGGCTTGGGATTGCATGTTATTACAGCCATTGTGAGTTCATCTATGTAGGTTCCCTCCTATATCCAGAAGACACATACCACTTCTATCTTTTACATTCTTCCTGCTCCCTCTTTAGCAAAGTTCTCTGGGATGAAGGGGAAAAGGATGTGGTATGTATGTTTTATTTAGGGCTGATAAATTTCTGTGTTCATTACCACCTACTGCAAATAGAAGTTTCTTAGGTGAGTTTTGGTAGATGCACTGATCTATGAGTACAATTAGGAGATGGTTTAATACTGTGTACATTTAGCAGAATAATAGTAATAGGGCCTGTAACCTATCTAGCCACAGGGTCTTGACCTAGTAATGTACTATGTATGGGTATCATCTTATGGAGTGGGACTCAAATGCAAGCAGAATGTGATTGGTTTACTCCTATGAGGTTCATGCCACTATTGCACCAGAGGGCATGTGATTTCCTGAGCTAAATTTGGAGGATAAATAAATCAATAAGATATAATACCTCAAGGAGACTTAGTGAAGAGGCAGACAGTAAACACTTTGCAAATGTTTTATGTTTAGAATTGAGAGTGAGGTTGGTTGGAAGCATGAGGCCTGACATTGCAGAAGAAGCAGAACATGACAGATCTAGTTGAACTACAAACTAAAACTTTTGGAAACTACTCTGCAGACAATGCTAACTTACTAAGAATTCTATGCATATTTTCAGTTAATCCAAGAAGAGAAGAGAGGTAAAAGAAAATATGTATAAGAAAATGGGTAAGAATCAGATGAGTCTTCATGAGGAAGGTAGGTAACTTGGTGTTAAATGGAAGCAAATAGTTTTGAGAGATATTTTGATACAGAAGAAGGTAGAACTGAGATAAGTAGAGAATTACAAAAGAAAAACTAAGGGCAATTCCTTCAGGCTCCTGTTGTGTAGGATTGTAAATTGGGGCAAACTTCTTTGACATAGAGAATGTAGGTAGTGTGATAAAGAGAAAGTAAACTGATATCTAAAATTCCAGGAAACAATTATTGTAACATTATTTATGTTCACATCATTGTGTAACCATACACTCTTCCAAAAATTTTCATCTCCAACAATAGAAATTGTATTCACTAAGCAATAACCGTTATTCCCACCATTTTCCTCTAATAGCCTATAATATACTTCTGCAGCCACAAATTTGTCTATTCTAGTTATTTCATGTACATAGAATCATAAAATTTTAATCTGACTCATTTGAAGTAATATAATATTTTAAGACCCACTTATTTCAAGTGATATTGCAATTGACACCAAGCCTGACAATCTGAGTTCAATACCCAGGCCCCACCACCCACATGTGGTGATCATGCCTCCTTCTTAGGAGAAGATGGAGCCTATGCCTTTATGACCCAATCACCTCCTAAGTGTCCCCTTTCTTAATACTGTTGTATTGGGTCCATGTCATGGCTCATGTCTTTAATATCAGAATTTGCATCACAAAGGCAGGCAGATCTCTGCCTTATGGATGGGATTAGAACCCATTTCATTTATTTGCTTTTTGTTTGTTTGTTTTACATCCCAGCTGCCGCTTTCCTTCCCTCCGCTCCTCCCAGTCCTCCCCATGCCCCAATTCATTCCTCCTCCATTTCTGTTCAAGAAATGGCAAGAAATGGCATGCTTCCCACAGTTAATCAACAAAATACAGCATATCAGGTTGCAGTAAGACTAAGCATTTTAAGAGGCTACAAGGTTACTTAGTGTGTATAACATGTGAAGCATCATATGTAAGGAATGGGCCTTCACCAGACACTGAATCCATGGTGTGTTTATCTTGGACTTCACAGCCTCCTGAATGATGAGAAAGTAATTTGTACATGTTACAAATTACCCAGATTTAAGTATTTAAGTATTTTATTACAATGCAAATGAACAAAGACAGAATATATAAATATATATATATTAGCAAAAAGTTTTGTTGAAGGTATATAGAAATTGGTTTCTTCCTTCATGTCAGATGGAAGTGCAACCAACTGTCAAAAACAGTTTGTAGGGGTGGAGAGAGGGTTCAGTGGTTAAGAATGCTCACTCCTCTTACAGAAGACCTAAATTCCATTCCTTGTACATCATTGGACAAAACAGACTATATCTTCATCTTTAAGAGATTCAACACATTTTGCTGACATCTACAGCTAACTGTACCCTCAGGCATGTACACACACACACACACACACACACACACACACACACACACACACACACACACATAAATTTTAAAAACCAAACTATTTTTTCTTTCTTTTTGAAATAGGTCCTCATTTTCTCCCTATGTTGCACTGGATAGCCTGGAACTCTGCATATAGACCAGGTTAAACTCAAATTCACAAAGATCCATCTACCTCTGCCCATAGAGTATTGAGATTAAGGGCGTGCACAATCACACCTGACTAATCTTTTCCTAAAAAGTATAAACTTACCCAGGAATTCTACTCCAAGGTATTCCCCAAGTATAATACATGTTTTTAGTTAAAATAAAATTTATGTAATAAAATAAAGCTACGCAATTAAATATAAACTAAAACTCAAAATTAAAAGCATAAGTGTGTGCCAGAAAGTCAGCTTTAGGGGGTGGTCATTAGACGGGAAGGTGTTGTGATGAAGTGGACCCTGTTGAAGCAACTTGATGTTATCATAGGAGGGTGGTAAATGTTACAAACTATTTGAAGAAAGAGCAAAAAAGATCTGAAGTGGAAAAACAAAACAAATGGTGCAGGGACTGCATAACATCTTTTCACCTCTCATCTTGTAACCCTCGCAATGAAGAAATGAGATTAAGACTGGAATTTAAAACATCTAGCTAATATCCTCAGCTGTTCCACAAAGGGTGTCACTCTGAATCGTTCAGTTTAAACCAACCCTCTGTCTTGTTCTAACATAAGTAAATGAGAGCAAATGGTAATTATCTAGTCACATTGTTGTTAAAAGAACTAAGTTAGATAATATACATTGCAGTCATTGTAAATTTCAAATGTGCAATGCAAATATAAAGGATCATTCTCATCACACAGGACATCTGTTACTAGGGAGTTTATAAAATATCCCCATGATGTTTTTTATTCAACTCAATACATGAAAATCTGTATTTCTACTCTAATAACATGTCAACAAATATGATGATGTCACTCTTACCTCAATAAGGGGATTTCCAACCAAATATATAGAGACACATTATGATGTGTTTTAAATGTCCAAGAAGTCAAGGAGTAATTCAACATAAGGGCTTAGGAGCCAAGTGACAAAAAAGAAGCTGTTTCCTTCAGCTTAGCAACACACTGTTATTCTACTTGGTTTCTAGGACACACATACTTTAGGTCTGAATGCTTAAGAGTCCAATTAACGTGTGGAATTTAACTAGAGACATGTGACCAACTGATTCGGCAATATACTTTTCCTCCACACAATAATCTGAATGAGGATATTTAATACCATGGATAAAACTATTCAATACAAAGTAAATCTCTTTATATTTTCTTTGCTCTTTGGCCCCATTTTATAGAGAGCTAAAACTGAAAAATTTCAAATATGCCCTTCTGACCAATGCCTGGTTCTTTGGCATCATTTATCCCCACACTGTCTCATCCCCTGCCACCAAGAACTCTTCTGCTTCCCAGTTCCCCTATGACACTTCTATTTTTATAATGCTTTGAGTGGAGGATGCAATATGCTGGCAGGCTGGCATAGGATCAAAGTCAGTTAAAGCAGGGATTTTTTAAGGGCAGGAAGATGACAGGACTGTGTGAAAGGTGCTTGTTAAAGAACTTTGGCTGCCTCACTGAAGAATTCAGCTGTGAGTTTATAAATTACTGTTGTAATTTCACTTCGAATTTTGTTTCAATTGAATTAGAACAATTGAACTTAGTTCATTTTATAAGAGACAAACAGTGGATTAAGGACATAGAAATATTTTAATGTCCAAGTTGAAATACAGCTGTCATATATGTACTGACATTTACAGTTATACTGAGTCAAAAGCTTCTTGAGGAAATGGACCATTTATGCACATAAAATAAGTAAGGTGATTTTAATACTGCCACATCAAGCATTTCTGGAATTACTTTGCTATTTCTGGCTCTCCCTCTATCTGTTCATGCAAGACTGGGTACTGTGAAGTCTAAAGTGATATTTATATCTGATGCCCTCATTTGTTCACAGTGCCTAGTTACCAAATTTAAGGAAGCAAACACATGTGCCAAGAGCTCTCAACAAGTACTGGATAACATTTCTTCACAGAAGAAAAACATAGGGACAACTGCCTTTGACAAGTAATTTCTAGAAACCCAATATAGCAGGTGGTGTTTGCCTTTGAGCAAGGCATGGTGGAGGAGGCTGTGGTGACCTGAAGTAGCTCTTTGAACTAGCGACTTCAACTGAAAGTGGAATGGGTGAAGAATGAGAAGAGGTGTACAATCTTAAGCAGGAAGGCAAAGAAAGTACATTGATGGGAAACCACAGTATGTTCCTATGTAGGTTTAATATGGATCATTAAGGGGAAGACCATTGAATTTTTTAATCTTGCAAGGTGACCTCATAATACAAACTCTTTTAAGCAGCAAAGATCTTGGAAAAATTCACACTAAGGAAGTGGATATTGAACAAGATGGTGTCAAAAGTACACGAACTTTCTGGAAAACAGAGAATCTGGAAGATGAAAGAAAAATCTAGCACATAAATATTACCATAAGCAGCACTGAAATGGAACCACGACAAATATCTAGAGAGCCTGATAATAATCATTTATTCCCTAGCTAAACTCAATAAACTAGTCAGTTGTAATAATAATGCTCATGGTTAATAATAATTTCTTCTTAATAAATAGTTATAATTGGTAATGACAGTACTTGCTCTCATAAGTTCAAACAAATAAATAATACTAATATACCTCCAAATGCATATTGGATTAACTCAAGTAAGTTTATGTATGAAGCATTTCAAAGTCTAATCAAATGCACGTGCTATTGAAGAAAACAGTAGTCTTCAGAAGCCCTCATCTATAGAAGATGAGCAGGTACCTCTGGAAAACTTTACTTTTTATAATGACGTGAGTCTGGGAAAATGAGCTTGGAAAATATTCAAAAGTACTCCAAGAGAAATCGACTCCTGAAATCATAAAGGAAGGCCCTATAAAACCAGTTCCTTCATAAAAGCAAAAAAGAACACTGGAAAAAGTGTCAAATGTAACTTTTTCACAATTGGGAAATTTCCTAAAGACTTAAAGCAATATAAGGACAGGGAGCACTAAATTAACATGACTAAAAACAGCATGCATTGGGTAGTCTGTATGCATGTCCCTCTTCCCAACTTTAAAGAAGCCCTGAAGAACCAAGAACCCATGGTAGGCATGGAAGCCAGCAGTCTAACAGGCAACAAAGGGGATGGGATCGATTTTTAAGTTCAAGAAAGTCATGTCTTCACAGAATAGCCACTCTGCGATCTATTTAGAGGTTCTACAGGAATGCAAAATTCCTGCCAGTCTGTACTTGCTTCAAGTGAATCAGTTTTTCATGATGGCATGTAGTGAAACAGATTGTGGCAAACATCTAACATTATAGCTGGCTGATGCAGTGATAACATTTGGAGCAAAGAGAAAACAGAATAAAATACTTTAATGAAAAGTAGGTTTGAAAAACTGTGATAGGGAATTAGCACAAGATATCAGCCAATAAATATCATTTGGTGCTTTCTCCACACTGATTGAATAGCTCTCCAGGCTCCCTTTAGGAAATGTGAGTAAATCAGGTACAGGACCATGGTACTTGCTGCTAGTACAAGAAAGTTAATATCTCATTGAAGAAAAAGAAGTGCGTACATCTTCCTTTCCCCAACTACTAGCAACTGTTGCCACAGAAAGAGGCACCTCTTGCTTGTGAGGAGATAATTATAATAGATTTGGAATCCAGTACCATTCCAGGCACAGTGAAATGCAGTGTTGGGTTAAGCCCATGACTCCTACCAAAAGGCCAACACCTGTGAACTGAGCCACTGTAACTGGCCTGGATCAAGTGTCTTCCCCAATAACGAACGACAGAGCAGGAAGCAGGACTCATCCTACTGAAGGGCAGGGCACAAAATATAGGGCAGACCTCTTTCTCTGAGCCCAGTGCCAGGCTGCCATGGTGACAACAAGCAATTACTAAAATCTGAACTTGCCACACATAGGCCAGAATTGATAGACCTGTGAGACAAGCTATAGCAGGAGGAGGAGACCTATGTACTTTGGAATAGAACCAAGTTTCAGTCACATCAGTTCCAGGTTCAGAATGAACTGCCCTCTTCTGTACAAGGTCCTATAGCTGTGAGACTCAAGTGCAACCAAGGTCAGCACAGCTATCATAGCATGTCTCTAGTTGCAATGCTCTTGGTCCATTAGTCCAATTCAGCTATAGACAGCACATAGCAACAAGAGGATTGTTCTAAATCTAGTCTTATTGTGGTTGAAGGCAAGAAAGGACTGCAGGTCCAGACTGTGACACAGTTTGGTTGGTCATAGGTGTAACATGTAATCCTACAGCTGATTCGCTCATGATGACTCTGCCTAGAGTTGGGCAAAAACCTGCATTATCTGACCACAGAACAAAGCACTTGGCTAAGCAGGGCGGTGGTGGCACACGCCTTTAATCCCAGCACTCGGGAGGCAGAGGCAGGCGGATCTCTGTGAGTTCGAGGCCAGGCTGGACTGACAGCCTCCAAAACAATACAGAGAAACCCTGTCTCGTAAAACCAAAAGAAAAAAGCACTTGGCTGTTCCCAGCTCTGTAGAGAGACTTCTGAGGCTCCTCTTCGTATTTTATTCACTAATTCTGAACAATACAATAGAATAGTGTAGTTGGAACAAATGTGATCACAGATTTCCCTCTATCACTGAAACAAGAAAAATAATCCAAAATGAAACTCCTAATATATCAGTCACAGAAAATAAGCAGAATCTTTGTAAAGAAGGTCACAAATTCAGTTTATGAAGACTGGAATAAATAAATATCTGATCTTCAAATGTCCAGATGGCATCCCATGCTAGCAAACATTAAAGGATTTCAAGAAACTGTGACTTCAACTAATAAAACAACGTAAGGTGCAAGGAACTATTAGAACATAAGCAGTATGGGAAAACTTCCAGAGAATTTTGAGCAAGCCATTTCAAATAAATTCAATGGGGTTCCAGAAAACATGAACATTTTATTACTTTACCAAAATATTTCACAGAAAGGCAGAAGAAAGCTCAAAAATGAATGTAAAATCCTTGGGTTAAAAAATTCATTCATAAAAATTAAAAACCCTTCTCCTCAAAGGTCAGAGATCTATGTGAAAGAGGAGGTAGAAGACTGTAAGAACCAGAGATAATGAGTGGGTTCAAGGAAACAGTGTCCTCCAGACACAACAGGACTGATATGTACAGGAACTCACAGAAACTGTAACAGCATGCACAAGAACCGCATAAGCTCAAACCAATCAGATCACATGTACCCAGATATTCCAAACTTCTCCATTTCTCCCGCATCCTGTACTCCAGCAAGGATTTCTTTTTACTTTCTTGCTTTCTACAGTTACTCTAATGCTGTGGAATGATACTTTTATTCACTGTAAAGATTTGCCACTCCGATTGGTTTAATAAAAAGCTGATTGGCCAGTAGACAGACAGGAATTAATTATAAGGGGATCAATCAAACTAGGAGAATGAAGGGAGAACAAGGGCAGAGTCAGAGGAGATGCCAGCCTGCCACTGAGGAAGCAAGATGTGTAGAAAATGAGGTAGCAAACCACGAGTCGTGTGGCAAAGTATGGATAAGAATTATGGGTTAATTTAAATGTAAGAGTTAGCTAGTAACAAGCCTGAGCTATTGGCTGAGCATTTATAATTTATACTAAGTTTATGAATCAATTATTTTGGAAGTGGATGCCAGTTACTTGGGAGCAGGAGGTCGGGACAAGAAACTTCCGTCTACACTCCAATGTATGTACTCACAAGAACATGTGACAGTTGTCTTTCTGCATCCAAGTTATCTCACTCAACATGCTTTTTTCCTAGCTCCATCCATGTGGAAAAACTAAGCCTCAGTGGGCCTGACAGCTTGGCCTAGAGCACGTGCAATAGAGATCTCCTGACAGCCAGCATGGGTCTGCCAGAAGGCCTTGACAACAGCAGACCAGAGATGATGTGGACCTATGGACAACGACCACGTCATCTCAGCAGATGCCAGCTCAATGGACCTCCT